GACAGGACAGGACAGGACAGGACAGGACAGGACAGGACAGGACAGGACAGGACAGGACAGGACAGGACAGGGAGAGTCGCGCGGCCCACAGGGTTGGAGCTGGTCCCGCCGGGCACCTCACCATGCAGATGAGACACTTGTAGCGATCTCCGCGCAGAACCTGCTTCTCCAGCTCCCGGATGCGAGCCTTCAGGGCCTCGAAAGTGGTAACGGTGGACTCCTCCGTAATCCTGTGGGGGGAGAGGCGGCTGTGGTTATGCAGGTACTCCCTCTGCCCCTGTGACCCCCACAGACGTCTGGGTGCCGGCCCTGCATGACTGCATACCCTAACGCCACAGTGGTTACTATGACACCTGGAGGGACTATTGCAGGCCCTTGCAGACACGAGGGGGCTTTGTTACCGTGCCAACGTGACCCCGGCGGTAAATCGTCACCCTGTGTGGCGAATGTGCTTTTAACAGTGTCTGCAGCACATGAAGATGCAATAACAGAATCAATAGATCCCAGCATCGACTGCGCAGCTGAGCCGGTCATTTTCTGGCTGGAAGACACCTGATTGATTTCCCATCACACCAGTGCTTCCACTGCGTGCACCCGACTGGTCAGCCTGGGGGAGGGGGGTGGAGGTGCTCAGGGCCCGGGTGAGGAACATCAGCTGCACCAGCATCTCACACAGTGTCTGTCTGGAGGCCCAAAGTGGAGCACTGTGCCTGCTAGAGGCGGTAAACAGGACCGGGGGGGGATTAGGTAGTGGATGCTGAGGGCTGAAAGCCACCGGGAGGCAGCACTTAGGCATGCTGGTCCCGCCCTAGCTGTGCATCACGTGCAACGGAGTAGTACAAAGACCAAAGGTAACAGGCGCAGCGTGTGCGCGCGTCTGCGTGTGCGCGCGTCTGCGTGTGCGCGCGTCTGCGTGTGCGCGCGTCTGTGAACACACACGCCTGCTTCAACAGCTTCATCAGTGGTGCCGCCCAGAGCATGACCGCCCCCCATCCCCATAAACCTTTAATATCTTTCCTTATTAGTGTGGACCTTGTAAAAGAAACATTTAGCCTTGATTAGCGGCCTGCCAGTAACGGCATGCAGCTCGGCATACAGCGTGCCAAGCGGCATAAAGTTTGTTTTCTTTACAGGTCCATAAATCAGCGCTGACAGCCAGACGGCCAGCAGGGCGGCAGCAGAAATGCAGGGCCGCTCTCTGACTCACGCTTGCTGATTAACTTGTGTCTGTCGGGGATTTACTACAGAGCTCACTGCGAGCCTGGCATGCAGTGAAAAGCGGGCTCTGCAGTGAGAGGGTGGGGACAGGCAAACCAGTGCCTCTCACCTCCACCTGGCCACCCCTACCCACGGGGTCGACCCTCTACACAGCGCACTGTCACATACACTGCGGAGGAAGCCCCTCCCCCCCAACAGAAAACTATTAGGGCTCATCATGTGACGGATAGAGCCTCTGAATGGGGGGGGGGGTAGAGGGCATTTCCTGTCCCGCTTCTGCTCCTGAAACGTGCCTAGCATAATTTGCCAGGCAGCTCAACAGACAACGTTCCGAATTCCCATAGTGCCGTTCCTGCAAATCCGATCTGGGAACAGAGAGCCGATCTGTGGGCGGCGGCATCACCAGTCATCATTTATAAATTGAGGACAGATTCAATTATTTGTCGGTTACATGGAAATCTCTACAATCGTTTCAAGCTGAGCATGAAATTTAGCAGCAATAACGCTGGCGATACGGGCAGCATCATTTATCTTGTGTGGAAGGAGCGAGAGAGTGAGATCGTTACCCTGGCAGGGTGGGGGCCGGGGGGGGTCACACGCAAACACATACGGTAAGCACCCACACGCCAACGGCATAGAGGGGATGTAAGGGGAGCTTTGATGGTCCCGGGCCCACTGCGGGGCACAGACAGCGGTGTGGTAAACAGGCCAGCCCCGGAACCACTGCGGGGCACAGACAGCGGTGTGGTAAACAGGCCAGCCCCGGAACCACTGCGGGGCACAGACAGAGGTGTGGTAAACAGGCCAGCCCCGGAACCACTGCGGGGCA